GAGATGCAGTGGACATTTTTGAGTGAGTGCCACTCAGCGCGCAGAACGCCAAAAGTGCAAAAGCAGCACCAGATCAAACAACAAGAAAAACGCATGCATGCAGCTCGGAACAGCAACGCGCGCCGTCCAACAGAAAATCATTGCGCACAGATTTTTCAGTGTTCTCTCCTCAGTTCGCCCGCGGAGTTGGTTGCTGTGCTTTCGTTCTCGCTGGAGTTCTTGTGGCAGCGCATTTCGCCATCATGGAGGAACTGGTACCTCAACTAACGCCTGGCGGATTTGCTGGTCCCGTTCGCCTCCATCCGATCAGCAGCTCCGTGTGGTATGTTCTCGGCGTTACCTGCCTGGCGAGCTCTGACTCGTTTGTTTGTCTTCTTACCTGTGGAACATCGCGATCGCTCATTGTAGCATCAGCATTTGGTCGAACAGCGGCTACATGACATGAATTTCCTGGGACTAGCACAGGTTGCCTTCTCCTTCGCTGGACCAATTCTACAAGGCACAGTGAAAGGCAAGTCGTTGCCGAGGGCTGGCAGTAACTGTTCAGTGTTGCAGTGCAATTCCCAGTGCAAATAATAAAGCAAACTATTTCCACTGGAGTATGCACGATCGTAAAAGCACAAGATCGAGACGAACGGAAACGAGAATGGTTTGACACTGCATGCCAAGAGAAGCGAGGAAAGGACAGGTCCGACCAAAATATCGCGAACATCGGCTCTACAAGACAAGAACAGGCTACAACTCAAGCCAAGGTTCTTTCTCTTCTTTGTTCTGTTGGGATGCGTAGGATGTACACGATCTGTGCTCCCGTCGGGTCACGCGACTCACGTGCACCAAACCCGCCCTCGCACGACGCTTTTGTCGATCCTGCATACCGACTGTGAGCCCTGAAATTTTAGCCGCGACGAGGATCGGGAGAAATCCATCATAATTATTTTTACATAGCTACTACCATCACGTCGACCGAGTGAAGATCGAAATGATAATGGAGTGGAGAGAAGAAGACCTGAACTAGAGTGCTTGAGAGACTATGTAGTGTCACATGAGAATTGCTTCGTTAGGAAGGCTCTCCTTTTGAATGGAGAAGCCCAACGTCGCTGATCTGCATCGCCGTTTTCAAGCGCTGATCTGCAGTAGGAATGTTTTTGTAAATTATTCGTAGTTGTGGACGTGGATGGATTCAGCGCTCTGTTCTCTCAGCAAGCCTACTCAGTCCAACACGAAGGACTTCCATGAGCGAAACAACGTGCTCCTCGAGCAAGTGCAGCTCGGGGTAATATGGCCAATGCCACGGGAGACCACCTCGTGCCTGCATAAGGCCAAGAATTGATGGCAAGAAATCTTTGATGAGCGCCTTCGACTTCAAGGACGCAATTGTATATCTCCTCAGCAGTAACTGCAGCGCTCTTGCTGAAAATATCACTGCCAGCAGGCACTAGGCATGATTTAGTGAAGAGCTACTTGTACTAGCGATTGGAGATTTGGTGTTGGCATATCTGCTCCATCATGGTAACTGGTGCGTTTGTCAAGGCAGTGCAGTTTCTGCTGCTGTTTCACAAGCCATATGCGCAGTGAGTAGGAATTTGTTGTATGATAGCTGAGGATCACCAGCCTTCATGGACAAACCTATGTTGGGACTCAGTGGTTGCTGAACAGTGCACACCTAAATCTCTCAGCAAGCTCTCTTGCTCAGCTGGTGACGAACACTATATACCCGCTGCTTTGGGCTTGCAGCCCCGTCTCCCGACCGTAGACCGATCGAAAGGCTGTCACGGTCCTGTGACCATCGGCGTACAGTTGACACTGATGGGGCATCGGATAAAGTGCTGGCGTCAGTAATTCTCTTGTATACCTGGAATCTACATCTACAGCTGGTTTCGACTTCCAGCCATCCTCCGTTAGTTATGCTTGTGACTATCATGCCAGCAAGTCGATCAGCAGCATCACCTCGCATCTTTGATGGTGAGGCCTGCAAAACGTCACCGACCAGTGACGATGCTCAAATAGGGCACCCTACCAGAGCTGGCGCAGTGTATGGTGCAGTCTTTCATGAATCCATAAACTATGCTGTTCGGCTGCTGTAGCTCTGACGCTTGCGTGTGTGCCTTACATTAAGGGCAGCGGGCCGTCTGCTCTAGCCATTTGCCAATGCATGCACGGCTGAACGTCTACCAGCAAGCTGCAAACACTTCTCTCTCTACCTGTGACATAGTGGACATTGTGCGTGTGTTATTGCATTCCTATATGAACTGTTCTGGATGCAGAGATTTACCCACTAAACCCTAGAGAAATATGAATAAATACTTTACTACTATAACTAAACTTGGTATGCGGGTGTGACGTGCTGCTGCTCATCAGATTCGGTCCATGCGACGCTCGTGTTTTTAGTTTTGTTATTTTGTCTTCCTTTTTTGAATTCGTAAACCAAACAGACTAAACTATCCAGTGATCAGGTACTGGTGTGGTGGGGCAAGGTTTTGTTGGTGATGCTGCTGTCAGTGGTGGCGGCGTGCATGTGCTCGTGCTTGCGGGCGATGGCCCGCGTTTTCTCCCATGCTGCAAGTTTGTCTTGCGTTTGTGTTTTGCATTTGGACTTCCTGCCAGGCTTGGAAGACTTGCATTTCAAACAGTTTGTCCCACTGTGTGGCTCCCAGTCTTTGAACGGTGTACATCCACCTCTGGAGCTCCAGAGAATGTTGGGCCCCTGGCAGTAGCAGTGCATTCCATGGCCAATTTGCAAGTGTGGCAAAAAAGTTCAGGGTGTATTTGGTTTCATCCACATCAAGTTGAGATGAAACACTGCCAAAATGGATTGAGTATGATCTGCCACACGATACTTCGTCCGTCCACTCCTTGACGCGAATTTCTCCCCTCCAATACGACAACACGACGACAGGAAGCTAACATGAGCCTCCATTTCTGAACAAAATAACGTCTCTAACATGGCCACGAAAAGCTACAGTTATGCACGTCAAGCTTAGGAATACACGAAATCGAAAGGCTAGGACATCGAGGTATACTAGAAAATTGTCTGCGAGGCGGAGAAAATTCGCTGACGAGGTTGGTGAGCCCTTGAAATCGAGCGACGATCCAAAAATAATTGCACCCACGTCGAGAAAGAAACCATGCGTAGCGCGTGGGTAACCCAAAAAGATCGCTCGAGCGGCGGCACAGTCGAAGGCAAGGCCAGTCCAAGCTCTAAACTCTATCGAATGACCTGGCAAACACCCGTGGTTTCGGTTGACCTTGCCCGTTTGAGATGGAAGTCGAGCGAAATTGCAAACATACAACTAGGCCAGGTCGCGTAAAAAATGAAAAATATTAAAATTTGGCCGCCATATTTAATGAACGCCCGTCGCATGCATGGGACAGCCGTGTTCAGTGATCCATGTGAAAATAATTGCAATGCTGTAGTGTAGTGTAGATACAATTGTACTCTAATCAGCTATCACTAGTACCCGGCGATATCGCAACCGAACGTCAAACATCGCAGACAGTGCAACAAACATGGCCTTGTCTGCACGCTAGCACAAAATTGTAATTTATACGCAACTACATACACATACATGGTATCCGCTGACTTTCAGAGCGCTGCAGTGGGTCTTGTCGTGGTTTGTTGTCATTAGGGGCGTGCCCTAGGCATATTGTGTTGTCTGCATCGCTTGAGCGCGAAAAGCGAGGCACGCCACCTCACGGAGTCACGATCTAGATTTCATACTCACTACTGTACAGCTACCTAACAGTTACTGCACTAACGCTTTCCAGTCTAAAGTATAAGGCACTGTGGGCCTGCCTTGATTGCTTATCTTGGGGGTCGTCTCGTTTACATTTTGTTATCTTTGCAGCTGTCAGCAATGATCTGACTTGCCCAGAACCTGTCCGAGAGGTTACTTCACGGTTCAGCTCTGCCCTGCGATGCTCATAATAATTATTATCCATACCATCACCCATGGACCAGAGCCGTGGTGAGTAGAGAGTGGCCGCCAGAAATACAGTACCGGTACAGACCAGTACAGGTCGTCTGAGAGACCCACATCAGTTACATAAACAAGCTACAAACAACAACCCCATTATGCCATGGCCATGGGGGATATGGCATAACAATCATACAAAAAAGCCTGCTCACTGTCACACTCAGTCATACTGCATGCAATGGTTTTACAAGCTAATGTTCACTTTCACTATGTTGCTCCGGGTGCCGGCATGAGTCATAATCATATCAGTGGCTGAGTCACAAGCGAACAATGCTCACACACGGAAGCTATACGGCTGGATGCTGTCAGCACCAATAATAATTATTATTGTGACTATTGTCACATTATTGAAAATGCAACAAGACCTTTAGTATTCTGCAGAAAGGCAAGATACTGCTAGCTGCTAGTACTAGTACTAGTAGTATACATGTAGATGATACCTGAGGCTGAAGTCTCGAAGCAACTATTGCCGATTTTGAGTCACACGCTCGAAGATCGGTTCTGATGGAGCTCCGGAGGGCGATTTTGCAGTAAAAAACAAGATTGTGTAGTAATTGTGACTGCGTACTGCAGACTCAGTGCAGCTGGACATCTATACATCGGGCATATCGCGCATGTTTTTGGACAGCTTCGTTCACGAGTGAGTGAACTACTGACATGTCTGTGTGTGCTGGTGATGGTGCGTGCTTTGTATCTTCATCACTGCACTGGGCACATGCACAGACTAGGCTAGGCATGTCGGAAGGCAGCTCGCTTCAGTGAGTGACCACTGACCAGGTGACTTGAATCGTGGATTTGACAGCACCAATCAGCAGCGAAAACGATAGGTAAGCTAGCTGAGGTTCGAAGTGATGGCAGTGATGTGATTTGCCAGCAGCCGTCCGTTGCATGCAGCTTTTTCCGGTGAGAAAATTGTAGCGAAACGGACAACCTAGTACCTGTGCATTACGGTCTTGGACGGCGACCGGTTGAAGACATCTACTACTAGTACTTAGTAGTACTAAAATTATCATGACATTGTCGTGTGGCACAGCTACAGACGTGCGAGCTAAAATCTACTAAATGTCACACACGACTAGCGTTGACCTCCTGAACGGGAGTCGGGAGAGCCGCCGCATCACCGCCCCGGCAACGGCTACCGAAATCCCGAAGTTTTGAAGACATAAAATATAACAATCATTCCAGTTTACGACCCATCAGTCTTGATAGTGCAGTCGTGATAGCTGTTTTTGCCTTTTTACGAGTTATAAACGCTATACGTTTCTGGTTCGGTTTGGGACTTCTGACGTTCTGTCCGTAGGTTCTCTGCTCACTAGCATCATTTCTACTCAGTCTACTCGTAGATCTGCTGCACACGAGCTATCGCCCTGATCTGAGCTGACGCCAGGGCATGGCTAGCGGCTGTCACTCACTTGCACATTTTGCCAGTCTTTTCCATGAGGCATGAGTCGTAGACTGGGTGACATGCCATGGGAGAAGAGTAAAAGTCAAGTGGACTAGTGCTTGTACTTGTAAGTTGTAGGTCTAGTCAGTAGTCGTACTGTAAGAAACGGTGCGCAGCTACGTAGCCTAGCCAAGCGTGTGCAGCTAGCTCAACGACAACTTTACGTGGCAAAAATACTGTCTTGATCATCATCATTCTCTGATTCTCAAGTCAAGGTTGATCTCGTGCACTGGTTATGACTTGAGTTGAGCTAGGTTGACAGCCAACTGTTCCAGATAATGTCCGCAGCTATCGACCGCTGCACTGAATGACCGAACTGAGAGTTTGTTGGGACTTTGTAATGAAGTCGAGCCCAACTGCTCCTTGCTTCAAATTTCAATAGACTCCTGGGCTGGGCTCTCTGCTTGGCATTCTGGTCGCTCTTCACCGCGGGGGCGCGTGCCGTAAATCTACTTTCTGGGCCACGAGCAAGAAGCAAGTGACCCCTGATTTGCGCTCGGATCGTGAAAAAGCCTGCCTCGCAGCAGTTGGCAGCGGTAACTGCGCGGCGATCTATGCAGTGTCACTGCGTGATAAACCATCGAATTACGGTCGAGGAGGACGGCACAGGAAGGAAGAGCGACTTCCTGAACTCGGAGTTGTGTGCGTGCTGCGACGGCGAAAGTCCTCAGCTACGCTGTGTGCCAGGTACATGTACAGCGTTGTTCTGCGCAACACGCTACTCGCAGGACGATCCAAGCTCACAGCTCCTGTTTCTCCTGTCGTGCTAGCAGCGTTGCCAGCCGTGGCACGACGAACAACAGCAGCAGCAGCAGCGTCGACACAAACTGTGCCTGTGGCAGTGGATGCAGTTGCCTGTTGGAAGCGTTTGTGAATCCCTGCTCGACCGGCCTCCACACCGGTTCTTGTTCAAAGGCCGGCCTGACTGTGGAAGAAAGTCAGCACGCTGTGCCAGGCATCTCAATAGCATTTTCGCTCTCTCTCTCGTGCACGCACGGCCACACAGCGCTGTAGCTGTGTCGAGTCGAGGTTCAGTAACGCACAAACTCATTGCAGTCAGCGTTGCATCGCTGCGCAGTGCAGTACAGCGTGCTGTCACACGCACATAATTCCCTGTTCTCAAGCAGCAGCTACAAGACCTCAGCCAGAAGCTGCAGTGACAGTAGCAGAAGTGGTCAAGATCAGTGCAAAATCTGAATGCTCCAGGAGGATGTTATGCCGGGTGGATGGTTAGGACTGTGAACAAGCTTGTAACTCCAGGCCGTTGGTCCTGCTGCTCGGGTCGACTATAAATTCCCGTTGGATGAGAGTGTCTTTCCCAGAAACGCTCTCGACACATCGCCGAGGCTATGGCAAGTGGCGGTGGTGCTGGAGCTGGCGGTACTGGCAACGGCAGCAACACTCCACGACACCCAGCAGCAGCAGCGCCGGGGCAGTTCGGCATAAAGCCCGACGAGGTTGTGCGCGGCTTCATACGCCGTGCCAACCACAGCGGCAGCAGCTTCAACCTCAGTCCAATTCGTCGGCGTCGTGCCCACTCAACCAGTAGTTCGTCCGCAGTGAGTCACAGTGGAAGCTTAGGCTTTGTGGACAGTGTATGGGCAGTGCAGAACACGCCAACGTCTCCGTTGCATAATTTAAGCGGCTTGCAGAGCCAGTATGGCTTTCGTTCCAGTCCTGTGGCCCCCATTCGCAGGAAACAATCTCTGGGCGATTCAGCAACTGGCTACACGAGTAATAGCCTTGCTCTTGCTGCAGCTGCCGGCAGTGCGGGTTTCAGCGGTGCCTCCTCGTCGTCTCTATCCTCACAAACTCCCTCTCATGCCGGTGTGAGGAGCACGTCGAGCATGCCAGTTGGTACATCCCATTCACCGTCTTTACATCATCACCACCACCACCGCCAACACCAGCACCAGCACGTACCAGCACACCAGACAATGTCGGCGCCATTCCCTCTCTCGTCACAGCTGCAAGCTACGAATTTGGCAGGCAGCACAGATGAGTATGGCGACACCATCCCACAGGTGAGAAGCCATAGAAGGAATAGTGTCGGGAAGTTGATTCCGCTGTGCGCTGCTACTGCTGCTGCTGCTATGGACACACGGCATGGCATGGCTGGCATGGCTGGCGTGGCTGGCGTGACTGGTGACATTGACAGTACACACGTGTCGTCCACTAATGTGTCCATGTCAACATCGACTGCTGCAGCCTCAGCTAGTTCCTCAGCTTCGGCCTCAGCGTCAGCCTCGGCTAGAACCTTGCATACTCAAATGTCAGTGGATGATGGGTATGAGGCAAGCAGTGAGCATATGGCCATGGCCACCGCAACTCGACCCAAGACCAAGCCCGACAAGGACAAGGACGCCAAGAAGTCGGGAAAGTGGAAGGACACGCTGAAGCGCCGCAAGGCCAAGCATGATGCCAAGCGCCGAGATGACGGTGGACTATCGGACATAGCGGCCAGTGCCGCTCCGTCGCAATGCACTACCCCTGTGCCGATAGCGGAGGATGATGCAGATATCGGCGGTGATGAGCCACCAGTTGCGCGTAAGGTAAGCCTCCGTAAGAAGTTTGAGCCATATGACCATGTGTTTTGTTATGAAATTTACATGGTCACGATAACATTACAGCAAGTGAGTGTTGTGTCCTGTTTTGGAAGTATTTGTTGAAAGCCACAGCAGGCCCTGGGCAATCTTAACAAATCATTCGTATTTGAGTGCGTTGATTATATGCCCCGAGCGCATACTGTAAAATCACTTGTTGTGCAATGGAGGTGTAGGTGGATACCAATTACAGTTAGTTGTTCATTGCTTTGACAGAGAGCTGTTTTGTACTTGAGAATGGCAATCGTGGTTGCATTCAATGATTGCATACACTCTACTCCACTGCACTTGCACTCAGCTGTTTCACACTAAGCGGAGCTGTACACCTAGGGTCACATTGGTATAGATGCCGGTAGTGTATGATGTGTCGGAACACAACACCCCCTCCTCCTCCCCCCCCCCCCCCCCCCCCATCCACGCACATATACCCATCCTCCCGTTCTGTGCCGATTAATTGCACGCTCCTGCCGGTCGTTGGGTCGGCTGCACATGTATATATATATATACAGAAGGTTGTTTTACGAGGTGACGAGGCAATTGCTGGCAGCACGGTGATTGCCCTGATAGATTCAGTTCAGCAAGATGGACTGGCACCATCATGGTGTTTGGTGTGGTGCCTCGTGCACGGTCGTCTGTCACAGAGCAGACGAAAATGAGTGCCCGCCTCCTACATGTATATGTTATAAGCGGAACGTTTAGTGAACAGTACTGGGAGTTCTGGGAGTTGATTTTCATCTACATGTACTCTAGCGGGCAGACACGCGTATTTTGAGTTCAGTTATTGAGCGTGGGCCTCCTTATAGTGGATTAAGTTGACAGGCAATCAAGGTTAGCCAATCTATAGGCAAATCTAGGCATGTTGTTGGTGTGTTGTGCTTGCTCCATGGACAATCAGTAGAGTTTCCATCTCGGCATCTGTCCATCCATACACATGTCTCTATCTTCCCATAGAATGATATGTCATGTGGTGTTCGCACACACATTTGTGGGCGTAAGCATCCCTGGCCTCAAGCGACTGTACCTTGTTCGAGTCCTGGTGGTAACAGTCAATTTTTCTTCTTCAGACTTTTCCCTTTTCAACTCCCTTAACTAATGACTATAATTGTAACTTATAAAATAGACCTTTTGTGACTTTTAAAACCAAACTAGAAAAAGCCTAAAATTACAACTGGAGTTTCACCAAAATTTAATTACCTCAATTCCCCAAGTGTGTGTGTGTGTGGGGAGGGGGGGGGGGGGGGGGGACGTATAACCTTGATCGATTTATGATGTGTAGTACAATAAAACAGTAGGTATGTCAAGGTGTGATCTACTTGCTGAACGTACTGTTGCTGCTTGCGTGAACAGATTTCCAATGGAACATCACAGTCCCCGACTTCAGACCGAGAGGATGGAAAGCGGAAAGGTTTCTTACATGGTTTCTTGCCGAGGCCCAATTTTTTCCGCCACCCGTCTCGTGAAGCTACTGGCAACCTTTCTGATGGTAAGATTCTGGTGTTGGTGTCTGGAATTTCTTTTGCCAATATCACAGTGTAGTGTACGGACGCATTTCTGTGGTTCTCCCTTTGTGTGTAGGTGTGTGTGTGTGTGTGTGCGTGTGTGTGTGTGTGTGTGTGTGTGCGTGCGTGCATGTGGTGTGGTGTGCTGATGAGGGGTGTCATCGCTTGGCAATCTGTACGTTTTGCAATCCATGTTTCTTGGGGTCAATAGCTGGAAAATTGTAAATTGATGTTGATTGTGTTGTGTTGAAAACATCTTGCTACACGTACAAAGCAGTTAATGTTAGTCGATTAAATCCACCGTAGGCGGTCTGTCAGTTTGTCTAGCAATCGAGTGGGTGCACCTGCGGTCGATAGATAGTCCGCTGCACTCACTTGAATGCCCTGGTCTCTTCACACCAGAGTGCTTTTGAATTACACAACTCTTCAAAATGCCCATATGCTCTGTCTGCACCCTTTCTTACCCTCCCTCCCTCCCCCTTCTGTCTCTCTCTCTCTCTCCCTCTCTCTCTCTCTCTCTCTCTCTCTCTCTCTCTCTCTCTCTCTCTCTCTCTCTCTCTCTCTCTCTCTCTCTCTCTCTCTCTCTCTCTCTCTCTCCCTCTCTCTTCGCTCCGTCTATTTGTTGCTGGCCTCTGCTACAGGTGCTCACAGCGACACGACGAAGAAGAAGAAAAAGCGTGGCGTTCGCAAGAAGAAAGGTCACACGCGAAATCGCTCCGAAGATCTCAATAACAACAACAACAACAATGAGCCTAGCGCTTTGTTTTCTGGAAGCAGGGGTGCTGAAGGTGGTCCGCAAGCTGAGAGAAGGTCTGGTGCACCGCACGGCACTGGTCGTACAGGTTAGTTTAAGTCACTGGATGACATTAGTCATTTGTGCGTCCCATTACTACACGGCGACGGCTGGCAGTGTGAATGTGGTAGTTTTCTCTTCTAAATGGATAGGAACTGCGCTGGGCGATCCTATGGTGTGCCAGTACCAAATGCCAGGGAAGTAATTAGTTCATAAAGCCCGTGCTGCGTACAGTGTTATCAGTATTAGCAAAAGGACATGCTTATTTCAGCTGGCATCATTGCCAGTTGAAACGTGTTTACGTGCTTCACCGATGTAGACATGGTGTACACAGATGCTGGAAAACATTACCTTTGCTGACTGTCATCGATGTAGACATGGTGTACACAGATGCTGGAAAACATTACCTTTGCTGACTGTCATCGATGTAGACATGGTGTACACAGATGCTGGAAAACATTACCTTTGCTGACTGTCATCGATGTAGACATGGTGTACACAGATGCTGGAAAACATTACCTTTGCTGACTGTCATCGATGTAGACATGGTGTACACAGATGCTGGAAAACATTACCTTTGCTGACTGTCATCGATGTAGACATGGTGTACACAGATGCTGGAAAACATTACCTTTGCTGACTGTCTTTGTACACACGCCGACAGCTCTGGGTGCTGACACCTTGCCAAAAGAGGGTGTTGACTCATCCTTCCTGTACTAGTGTACGTGTTGGAGGGTTGTGTGCTGTTGACTCATTCTTCCTGTACATGTTGGAGGCCTGTCACTGTCAGTGTGGCATTGCCTTGCTGGATCTGTTGGCTTCCACTGAGGCCTGTCACTAGTGTCAGTGTGGCATGGACGTTGCCCTGTTAGGTGTGTGCCTTCCACCTGCCTCACTGGCCCTCAGCGGTACACAGTGAACACATCCTGTGTTCCACCTGGGGTGCTATGCCCCGCATTGTGTGCAACGGCCTCACTGAGCAGCTGCTGTTCCTATTGTGTGTGTGTGTGGGGGGGTATGTGTACGTGTGTGTGTGTGTGTGTGTGTGTGTGTGTGTGTGTGTGTGTGTGTGTGTGTGACTGTGCGTGTGTGTGTGTGTGGGGGGGAGGGGGGGGGCTGTGTGTGTATTTGTTGGGGGGGGGGGGGGGGGTGTTCAGGCGAAGGTGCCTGTTTGAACCACTGTGGAGAACACTGAAATCCGTTGAGAAGTCGAGCAGCCACAGGGTGCTGGCCTTACAGCCGCAGATACTGTCCTGGTTGAAGCTTGGAGAGAAGGGAGATGTGTGTTCAGGGTTTCAGTATAGAATTGTAACTTGGCACATGTATTGTAGGCCCAGAGTCCCAGCTTCCAACACTTGTCCCAGGTGCCAGCTGAAGTGAGTGACACTGATCTTTGTTGGCTCATTGACCACTGTCAACTGGGCACTGCACATGCGGCGTGACTGACACTGTCAATTGGCACACTGTCTGTGTCACACACACTCATGTATTGTTAGTCTTTGTGTGTAAGTCTTGTAGGGCCTGGGGGTACATCATGGGGTATGTGTTTATGCCTGAACTAGCAATGGTGCTCAATCACCCTTGACCAAGACTTGGTAGTGTAGCCAGTGGCTTTGTATAGCTACTGTACAATGTACAGCGTAGTATGACACTGTTGTACTTAACTTTTGAATGCTGGTTATAGTGTGACAGCTAACTAATCATCTTGATGATAGTGACTGATGGCTAATTGAATATTATCTTCATAATTATTATCTTTGTATGCCTCACTACATTTGGCATGTGAGAGTTGCAAGAGAGAGAGAGAGAGAGAGAGAGAGAGAGAGAGAGAGAGAGAGAGAGAGAGAGAGAGAGAGAGAGAGAGAGAGAGAGAGAGAGAGAGAGAGAGAGAGAGAGAGAGAGAGAGAGAGAAGAGAGAGAGAGGGGGGTGTTCTGGTGTGTAAGAAGGTCATTGACCTGATTTGTTGCTTGGTAATAAATCAGTTTATGAAGCGCTATCCCAACCAGTAACCATACGATATGTTCCATAGTTTAACTGGTTTGAGGGAAAGAGACAAACGGGAAAAGTCTGAAGAAAACATTGACTGTCACCACCAGGACTCGAACCAGGGACCCTCGTTTGTAGCCAGCTATGCTCTAACCACTGAGCTATGGTGTAGTCATCCCAGCAGAGACCGTTCAACATTTTTCCATAGTGTTCCGTATCATTTTTTTCTGTGGACACTTGGGCGGGGGGGGGGGGGGGGGGGGGGGTAGGGGGAGAGGACTGCATAGATCATCATGCTACCAAAGTGACTAGGCAATGTGCTGCTGGTTTGTGGCAAACTGGGTCAGAGGGCTAAAGCAACACGGTACTGTTGGTCGCCGACGGACTCGGCGGGGGGGGGGGGGGGGGGGGGGGGGGGGGTCAACCTTGTAGTCTGGACCGTTGTCATTTTCATGTACTGCAGTCTATGCACAGTTGAGTTGCCATGTATGCCGTATTGGTATGCTATGCTTGGTGAAGTTATAGACTGTTTGTTCTTCTGCTCTCTGTTCTTCGGCGCCCGGCAGTACTGCACAGCCCATAGTTCCTGCGATGACAGTGATTGATTGCTGCAATGTCCTTGTTGAGTTACAGGCTGATCTAACAACATGTACTAACTGAGTACAGTAGAACCTGTCAAGGCGATCCGTGACTCAGATGAGACCACCAGAGGCACCACATCCGTAGAGGACCGGTAGTAGTACAGCTAGGATGCTATTTCCAGTCAAATGACCCTGGATAAGACGACCACATGTACCAGAGGACCACCTTTGCAGGGTCCCCTGAGCGGTCGGCTTACATAGGTTTTACAGTACAAGTACATGCATGCAGTGCAACTTGTCGAAGACACCTGGCTCAAGGGACCTTCAAAACGTTGCCTCTGTTACCAGGTGGCCTCCTTATCCAGGGTCATTTGACTGGATGTAGCATGCCTTGGTCCGGATTGCATCTGTCTTTTGGGACAGGTGGTCGCCTTATCCGAGTGGTCGCCTTCTTATCCGAGTGGTCGCCTTATGGCCTTATCCGAGTGGTTGCCTTGACAGATTTTTACTGTCCCGGCAGTTGTATTCACACAGCTGATCATGTCCCAGCTACACCGTCCCATTGGTTTGCCGCAGGAGTACAACGTGACAACGCAGGCTGTCTTATGCTTATGGGATGTGTTCTGTACAACCCTTTTGCTTCCTAGAATCCTGGTACTACAATGAATACATGTCTGGCAATGTGTAAACTCCTTGCAGGGAAGGGGAGGGGGTGGTGGAGTTTATGTGTGAATCCACTAAAGTTGGTGTACATTATGATGTAGTGCGGTTATGATGGTGTAGTGTAGATGCTATTGTTCTACATGATCTAATCGAGGCTGTCGGCTTGATTGCATCTCCACTCCAATTGGGCAAGGTGTTGTAATGGTATCAAAATGGGCGCTTGCCTTTACACCAGGCGATTCGTTAACACCTTGTTAGGTTCTTGTTAACAGTGGGCAGGCATACAAGATAGCTTCTAGCTCGTTTGTGACTGCGACCTTACCACTTGCTTGCTTTGCGGATTCCCTCAACTTGCAGCATGTGGAGTAGTTGATACTTGCTGGTCCTCCAATACCTTGATTGGTGGATCTGCTAGATAGCGAATGGCCTTCACAAGCCGGCAATTACTTGCTGAAACTAATTACTTGTCAGCCACTCAAGGAAGATCCCTCTGCGTAGGGCATGGTGTTTGGGCGGTTTGTAGTCAGTCTGATTGTGCGTATCAGTGACTGTTGCATGGTGCCCAAACCACACTTCAGTACATTGCAATTAAGATTCACATGCATGTAACCACTTGTAGTAGCAACATATGATGTCTTGCTGTTACTCGTACTCATTAATCCAGTGGAACACATCCAGTTAAAACCTCTGCACTCCCAACTTGCATGCATCTTGCAATCGTTAGTCGTCAACCTGCAAACCATGCCATAAAATCATACATACGATTTTACCATGACTGCCCTGTGTGTGTTTTGTGTGTGCGGTCTGTGTCTTATCGTAGCGTCGGCTAGTTCGTCAGCTGCATGTGCATCAGCTGCCTCACCGACCTTGGCCTCCGCCACTGCTTCTGCTGCTGCTGTGGGTGACTGTGGCGGCGGTGGCAGTAGCAGTGATGAAGCGGCAACCGTTCTTGCCAGTGCCGGAGGAGAATTTGAAGGAGCACCTGTGCCACGTAAGACCTCAACTAGTTAGTTAGAGAATTGATGTGTTAATTTATCCAGTGATTTGATAACAGTGGCACAGAGCCCCTATTTGTTCTCGCAATGGCGACTGACGCCAATAAGAGATGAGAGAACTGTAGTGATAAGGGGAGAAGGAACAATACCCTATGACTGGTTCATTAAAGAACAACCATGCTAGAAAATCACCAATATTTTACTTCGAAGTATAACCATGCCAGGTTGAAAGCTATAATTTAGGAACACCAGTGCGTGTTTTGATATACCATTGCACACTCAGTGTATGTGCAGTATGAAGGTACCCGTACGAGTACAGGTTGTTAGGGAAAGGCGCATGATAGGCGCATTACTAGCCTGCCAGTACGAGTGCAGATTGCTACGGAAAGGTGCATGATAGGCGCGTTACTAGCCTGAAGCAGAGATCCCTGTTTGGCATCCAATGTTGCTGTGCTTGGTTTGCCTGGCTCAGGTGATGGTTCTTTACTTGACTATAGTCACTGTATATTTGTGATGTGACACTGACTCACATGGTCATGTTCTGGCCTATTTATGCTCTGATTGGGGTAGGGGTGGACTGTATATGTTTGCGCTAACTCGTGTGCAAGGGTATAGTGTTAAAATCTGAAACTGCATGGTACTTGTACGTGTGTGTGTGTGTGTGTGTGTGTGTGTGTGTGGTTTGTGCGCACATGTATGCATGCGTGTGTGTGTGTGTGTGTGTGTGTGTGTGTGTGGTACATGGTGTGTGTGTGTGTATGTGTATGTGTGTGTTTGTAAATGCTTCCATCGCGCGTGCCCAGTCATTCCAGGCCCGGACTCAGCTGTGAGCAGTCTGCGCGACGACCTGTCCCAAGACCTACTCCTGGACGGTAGCTACCCTACACCGGGTCCCTCTAACCCAGCCACACCGGGCGCCGTAGCCCGGCACCGTAACAGTGGGTCTTCGCTGGCGGCAAGTGCCACTAGCGGCGGAGTGGATAGCAGTCAGTTGAGAAGAAGAAGTCGTCCGTACTCGAGCGATGTGGACACTGGCGAGGCATCGTTTGACATCATTGCCGATTCTGATAACATCAGTGTGGCATCGGAGCCAGCCGGTCTGTACAGGAGCCACCGTCCTCGGGTGTCCTCGGGCGACAGGCCAAGAGCTGATCAGGAGGCTGTTGACAACGTCATCGATAAACTGACAGGTAATGATCAATGCATGGGCTTGTGCCATCCATTTTCACAGGTGCATAGCAACGTGTGAGTGCACTGTGGATACATCTGGGCAATGATATGGGGTTGGGGGGGGGGGGGGGGTACACTTCTCTGGATATCAAAGTATTTTATGTACTTTGAATTGTTTTATGGGGGGGGGGGGGGGGATTCTGAAAGTTCAATTTGACTGACCATCTTCCGAGCTGTGGAATTTATGTATTTCTTGGTGAACCCCTGCTTATATCGCGTGTGAATTGTTTCTCAAAATGAGGAGTTGAAATGCAACGTTACTGCTAACAGATATCAGACGCTGGAACATCGCCCTAATTTCAGCGGTCTCCAGGCTACATGATCATCATGATATTGCACCCTGTGGCTGAACCAGTTTTGCTGTGATCTAAGCATGGGTTTCCCGTATAGGAACAGGCATGGCCATTTCGTCAAGAGGACATTGGGTTCAGATTGCAGTTTATGTGGAGTTGCACACACACACACATACACACACATACACACACACACACACACACACACACACACACACACACACACACACACACACACACACCAGCGCCCGCCCGCATACACAGTCTGGGATGTATGTAGTCCTCGTAGTATCCCCTGACATATACTGTAACGCACATGCTATGTACCTACATGTGCTTTTATATGTATATGTGTGTGTGTGCGTGTGCGTGTGCGTGTGTGTGTGTGTGTGTGTGTGTGTGTGTGTGTGTGTGCGTGTGTGTGTGTGTTTGCGTTTGTGTTTCCGTGTGCGTGTGCATGTGAGTGTTCGCATTTTGTCTGTGTATGTTTGCTTTGGTGGTTTGTTTGTGACCATGCTATTATTGCGGTACGTGCAGACTTATCAGAGCGTATTGAGCAGGAGCACAAGCACAAGATCAATAACATCGTGCAGCAGCTGATGAACACTGGGGACTATCGTACGTACAATGACTACGCGCGGTACGCACTCGAGCTACTCAGCAGCATTGATACCAACGACGGAGAGTTCAACATGATGATACTGCTGGTCATGACCAGCCAGGTGAGTTCTGCGCCACACGTTTATGTGCCTAGGCTGGTAGTGTATTATTCCAGGGTGCGATAGAGCTCACAGCCATTGAACAATATGTAGCTGTATGAAGGAAATTATTTCCGTCAAATACAATATCGTCTACGGAAGTGTCCTCGCAGTGGTGATGGTTGTTTGCAGGAGGTTCTAGTCGGCTTAAGAGCGCAGTGTAATGGTGGAGGTGACTCAACATAGGCTGGTAGTGGACACTCTTACTCCTGCCTCGGCACCATGCCGTCCCCGCATTTGAGGCCGTGTTTGCACGACAGCTCACGGACATTTTTCCGTTTTCGATCTCGTATTTCTTCATGCGTGCCTCTCCGTTTTGGTGCGTTCACAAGATCGGAGATGATCCGCGCTGCATCTCTGTTTGTATCGTTTTTGTGCGGCTACACGTGCGTGAAGGATCCGCGGCAGTTTATCATGTGACTCCAGTGTTGTCATGGAACACCAGCCACAGTCAATAAATAGTTGACAACACTTCTGACAACATCATTCCTCACATGACGAACATTTTATCGGATTCTTCGCGATCCGTGTGGACGGGCTAAGCGATACAAATGTTACGGTAACGCGGCCCAGCACACCGTTTCGACTGTTCACACATCCCAATATAAGCCGCAGAAGATTTCTGTTTTCAAATTCTTCCACTTTGGCCAGTGTTTTGGATTTCTTCCGTGTTGGTGCACAACTTTTCCGCGGTGTTCCACGTATGTAAACGAACCATGCATGCGGAAGTTTTTTTGTTGTGTTTTCATCCTCAGTGTTGCTGTTTAAATGCAGCGTCATATGATCTTGCTGCTGCGTGTGTGCATATGGTTGTGTGTGTATGTGTGTGTGTGTATATGTGTGTGTGTATGTGTGCATGTGTATGTGTATGTTTGTACGTACATATGTGCACGTGCTCGTGTGTGCGTCTCTGTACCTGCAGGAGAGTGTGTACTAGTACTGGCATAAATATCTTGTTGGCATTCTGGCATGTGCTTTTTCTGCAGCTGGTGACTTCGTTACCAGATAACCTGCGTCACCTTGCAGTGGAGATTGAGAGGAATAGCAGCTTGCTTCTGGAGAAGCACTTTGCCGAATTCTTCTATGCCGGAACGGAAAAAGCCCTTGTAAGTACTGTACAAGCAGAAATATTCGTCTGGAATTTAATTTCGTCTTTTTCGTCCAACAAGCCGCTGGACTAAATTATATGCCGGACTAATGTTGATTTGTCCAGCTTTTCAATCCACTCTTATGATCCATGGACGAAATTTACAACCGGACGAACTCTCTTTCTTTGGAGTTGGACGAAATTATTGACCGACGAAATTTTCTGCCTCTACAGTAACTTGATTATTGGCATGACTCAGATGTATACCATATGTGTCCTCTTTACCCTCTCAACATGCAGAGTGTATAATCATGTACTTACTGCACAGTGACCACTGCCCCACGGAGGGCATAACATAATATTATGTGTTCAGTGGGCAACGCATTATACCTGATAACTTTTGGTTCGATCAAAACTATGCAAGCCCTCGTAAATTCTTGATTCTCATGATCATAATGTAGATTGAAGAGACTACTTTCAACCTGCGATAGAAATAATGTAAACACTGATTTCCTATCAACAATCAACAGGTCGTGCTGACCAGCACAAACTAAGGCTTCCCATTCAACTTTACCCTCCACCAGTATAACCAGTTACGTCCATACCATGTGCCGCTGACCTGCACATTGATTATTCGTGTTGATATTTATTTATTTGTGACTTTTGAACGCTGCACAGTTTGTACGAGTACTTGTGCTTGTAGTTTTATGCAGTGCATGTAGACAGCTTTGCTTGGATGTGTGCGTATTGCACAGTTGTCGCTTGTACTACGGGATTTGGAGTACGTGTTAGCATACACGTGGGAACGCTACGCACTTTTCATGCGACCTCCTTTCCTTGATTCTGTACTTGCCCTTCATGCACGTGTCGCTGGCATACGCGATACAGGCCGGGTTTGTGTATTGGCTTTAAAACATGTGGCTCTTGTTTTTCAGTTTAGTTGTTCTTTGGTTGCTCCGCAAGTTGTTGTTTTGGATTGGAGGCAAAGATGGCTTTCCCTTTCAGTAATATAATGTAATGTAACTATAACTGATAGTATTATGTTGAGTGTTGGGCTGCGTTGGGACCCCGAAACCAATACCATGCACCTTACGTACAATTCCCCCAAGTCCGATGTTCATGGTATAAGCCACGGAAAATTCACTTGGAATACTTTTTTCCGCACTGCACAGCCATGCAATACTTTCCACATTTACTCTCTTGGCGCACCCTGCTGCCATGGAAACAAGGCTTTTAGAATCGGCACTACGGCACTCAGCGAGGCAGAGAGAAATAGATTTGAACTTGTTGCACTGAACAAGAGTAAAATGGCAAACGAGAACGAGCAGTATCTTGGGTATCTATGACATGGTAGCAGACCTGGGACTATGCAAGGCGCAGGCGCAGGCACTTACTCCCTTACTCACTTACTCACTCACTCACTTTCTCTCCGTCTCTCTCTCTCTCTCTCTGTCTGTCTCCCTCTGTCTCTACCTCAATCTCACGCACTCATCTACTCTCTCCTACCCACTCTCTCACTCACTCTCTCTCACTCACACACACGCACTTACGCACGCACGCACGCACACACACACAAACTCTCTCCCTCTGTCTATCTACCTCTTCATGTTCTATGATGTAAGTTTGGTTGAAGTCCTCGGTCAGCTGACAATTCTCTGCGTTTCCTGTACAATGTACATTCTGATTTGTGCATAGGCCTTCCTTCGTCGATGCTCTCTACGTCGTCGTGGTAACAGCACAGGTGAAGTCCGCTCATTGTCCAGTCAGAGCCAGCTCAGCAGTACTTCAAGCACCACAGCTATGGCCAGTGCTGCTGCCGCTGCACAGGCTGCACCTGCGCACCCAGCCAGCCCTCTGGCATCGCTTGAGCCAGCCACTGGTGGAACGCCGACGCTGCGCCTGCGAGGCGAAACGCGGGGTCAGTCGGCGAGAGAGTCGCGGCTACAGCGACAGCTCCGTCAGCAGCAGGTTGTACCGTCTCCACGGTTACGCCAGGCTTCTTCCGCTCCGCGCCTCGACAGTCATCTAGCGCCACAAGAGTATTCTGGAAATCTGGAAGAAGAGGATTGAGACTGATTGAGGTACATTGTGCTATGCTGACTTCTGGCCATGTGCAAGCACCCTTTCCATTTTTGCCTTATCGTCACGAGCAGATTTCATTCAGGACATTTGTAGTCGGATATCATGAATAATCCCGAACAGGTCAGCAGCAGGCAATACCCTGCAAGAAGATGAGCCGCGCAGGCAGCAATAGTCAGTAATCTGTGTTGGCACTGTGAGCGGTGTTGCACACCTGTCTTGACCGCTGTTCTCATTGCATTATGTTCTCGCACCACACCTACATATACATTGTTTGAATCTGAGTCGATCTTCTTCATTGTTGAGCATTTGAGCTGCGCAGCTTACCTCCGACTCATCCAGAGTTTAACATGTGAAGATCAGCTCTCAATCTTGTACTGGCAGATTGTAAAAACACCCAGAGATTTCTTGCCCGCTGCTCTATACATCTGGAGCAGTAGGAGATGCATCACACGTCTTTATGCGAGTGCCCACTGCTGTACTCGACATTGACACTTCTTGAGTCTGTGATTTGATCTGTTGAGTCCTCATGTCCAGTATATTACGTGTTTGTAGTCCCTTTATGTCACTCGGAAAGTGTTTCTTGAAGACCCAGTGCAGTGTTTATCATCATGTAGGTGTTCTTATTGTCTGTGTGCCGATTACGTTTCGCTAACTTAATTTTTCTCAGGAAATTTTCCCTTTCCCTATCGCAATTTCTGCACACCGTGTCTTCGGATATAGAAACCTCATCTACTTTCCCTTTATCTGCTATAAGAATGGCTCCTCTGTTCGACATGGCCGCAGTATCCGAACATTTCATACTCACATCTAAACTATTTTCTATCCTTATATCTTCTGAATTTATTTGCTCTTCATTCAGATGGTAACTTTTAAAACTGGAATCTTCATTTTTTTAAAGTAGTCGATAGAGAACATAGTTTTGCGTTTCTATTTTGATGTGTTCATATTTCAAGTCGGGTAACTTAAGATCCAGTGGCTTGCTTGTGTGAGAATAGGAAAGAGGGCAGTGGGAGTGCTTTGAATTATTTGTGCCAGCCTACAGCGATGTATCATGCAATATACGTCTATTATACAGTCCTGCTCAGTGAAATCCACTCGCATCACTCAAGTAGTTTGCGCCTTGCACCATTTCGCAGCCCAGCGTTCGCAGGTCTAGGGTTGCGCAACGCCCGGCGGGTGCTTCAGTGATGCGACTGGATTTCATTGAGCAACACTGTAATTTTATCGTATGATACACCACCTCCAAGCACTTCGTCCAAGTTGCGACACATTTCTTCTCTCTCTCTCTTTCTCTCTCTCTCTCTCTCTCTCTCTCTCTCTCTCTCTCTCTCTCTCTCTCCTCCCTCCCTCCCTCCCTCCCTCCCTCCCTCCCTCCCTCCCTCCCTCCCTCCCTCCCTCCCTCCCTCCCTCCCTCCCTCCCTCCCTCCCTCCCTCCCTCCCTCCTCTCTCTCTCTCTCTCTCTCTCTCTCTCTCTCTCTCTCTCTCTCTCTCTCTCTCTCTCTCTCTCTCTCTCTCTCTCTCTCTCTCTCTCTCTCTCTCTCTCTCTCTCTCGTCTCTCGTCTCTCGTCTCTCGTCTCTCTCTCGTCTGTGCGTGTCTCTCTCTCTCACGTCTGTCTCTCTCTCTCTCTCTCTCAAAAAATCTCAACAATAGGTACATGTGTGGGCAGAAGAATGGGAAAGGACGGGACATGGCACCTGTGCAAGAGGAATACATTTAGAGGAAGAACTGAATAGAAGGCCGGGTGTACAATACATCGTGAAGGTGTGCAAGAATACCAGAAGACAACTGTTAAAAGGGGCATTAGGATGTATGTTCAGCTGTTAGTGTTATGTGATAGTATGTGAAGAATAATAAAAGGGCGGTTGAAAGTGAAATGCATCAAAAGGTCTACAGACTTTACTAGCTAAGGTCAACCTAGTGTGTGGGAACATGAATAAAGTGCGGAGTATAGTATAATTTTGTAGTGCATGCAAAAGAAGGTAGAATGTGCGGCTGGTGTTACAAGTCATGTGCATGTCATACAATGTATGCATTCATATCCTAACAGCATGCTGATACTTGCTAATACCGAAAAAAAAAACAAAAAAAACAAAGAAGACCGAGCTCGAGGGACTCGATAAAAAAGTAAATAATTAGTTACAGCGGCAGCTGACACTCAGCAGCAGCCAACGAGGCTGAGAACAACCACCTTTGTAGTAAGTAAGGTTGCTTTGCTTATGTACATCATGCATACAAAACACAATTTGCCATGGTGTAGGATTGGAACTAGCCCTTTCCCAAAGATGCCATAATTTTTCGCAACTTATGCTTTTCGCAACCGTGCCAAAACAAGTGCTAGTTGCTGAAATCGCATCCATATTTTCAGAAAAAGCTCAAAAGTTGCTAATATCGCAACCTAAAATTGGAGAGTTCTTGTTCAAAAACCTACAAGAAAGGGAGCAGGAATAGCAGAAGTGCAGCGACAGCAAACTCGTTACGTAGATCTACACCCCTTCCTGCTGTGAACCACCACTTAACATAGTGCCAGTAGCCTGTTGCATGTATCCTACATGTACATCTACATTAATCCAGTGCAAGGAAAAGAGAGTGCACACTAAGTTATCATAACTACCGTTGATCTACTGGTTCTCTGAAATCAGTCTGAAGGCAGGCGAGAAATGAGCGAGTACGAGTGTGCATTTGTCCGACATGTAGTCGGTGAGTCGGTGACTTGACTTTTTAACCCCATGTCATGGGGCCAATTACGCCAAGGTTGCGGAAAAGTTGCGAAATAGTTCGCGAAAATGAAGAAAGTTGCGAAAGTTGCGATTTTTCCTGAACAACGAAAAGTTGCGAAAAAAGTGGCGAGCATCTTTGGGAAAGGGCTACAGTCAACTTCGCTAATGACGACTGCGGATACAACGACAATTCGCGAATAACGACAGAATTTCCATGCCCAGAGCAAAGTCACATCCAACTGTAATACATATAATGGGACTTCGGGTATAACGACACTTCGCAAATAAGGACACTTTTCTGATGCCCCGCCGAGTGTCGTTATACGCGAAGTTGACTGTAATTGGAACACAACTTGCACACTAAAAACAATTGCATGAATAAAGGTATAATTTGGTAAGGAATGAGGACCCTACTCAAAAACAGCATAGTTTATAATACTAAAGGGAAGTTAAGGCAAAAATTAAAATTTCACCAGTTGTAGTCTTCGGGGTGCTCAGTCGAATGGTCTTGGTCCGAGAAAGCTGAGACGCTCCCTTCCTACTTGAATCCCAATCGAACTCGCGCACTTCCACCGAAACTGGGTGACTGCGCCCTACTAGATGGGGGTTTGTATGCAAAATGTCACTAAAAGCGCCATGTTGTTCTTATAAAAGCACGGATGACCGCGATTGGCCCATATGTTGTAGTCTTTTGGACGCTGAGTCGACTGGTTTCGGTCGAAAAGGCTGCGATGCAGCGTTCCTCCTTTATTCCCAATCGAACATGGTTGAACAAGCGGTCACGTGCTCCAGCGTACACCAGTCACCTGGTCACCGTGCCTGCAGGGTACAACTTACTAGCCTGTTTGACCTTTTTTGGGTGCACTCCTGTAACTCGAGTTGAACTCGAGTTGAACCTTAGTGTGAAAGTTGTCGCCTGCTGGCGTGGTGACCAGGTGATTTGGGCACCCAGGAGCACGTGACCGCTTGTTCAACCACGTTCGATTGGGAATAAGGGCCGAACGCTGCATCGCAGCCTTTTCGGACCAAAACCAGTCGACTCAGCGTCCAAAAGACTACAACATATGTGCCAATCGCGGTCATCCGTGCTTTTATAAGAAAGAAATGGCGCTTTTAGTGACATTTTGCATACAAATCCCCATCTAGTAGGGCGCAGTCACCCAGTTTCGGTGGAAGTGCGCGAGTTCGATTGGGATTCAAGTAGGAAGGGAGCGTCTCAGCTTTCTCGGACCAAGACCATTCGACTCAGCACCCCGAAGACTACAACTGGTGAAAATTTGATTTTTGCCTTAACTTCCCCTTTAATTATGCGCAGTGAGTACTGAAATAGAAGGAGAAAGGCGTACACCACTGCCATAATACACTCTATTTGCTATGAGTATGAGAAGTGACATTTTGTCACCTAGCAATGTCAACCCTGTGATTACATCACTGGACACCGTAACCATGGGAACAGCTGACCCCGTGCCCGACCATTGCAAGGGCGCGCAAGGCATTGACCGGGCGATGATACGCTGAGCGCGCTCCTCTAATTTTCAGTCTTATGCACATGATGGCTGCGCGAAGAAGTGAAACACAAGCAAAGGAAAAGAGACAAAAATCTCAGGTACGCCATCGCCTGCGCGTAGGGCGTACATGTATGCTGCGCCAGCATGCCACGTACATGTACATGACTGTACAAGTAGACGCTTGAGAAATCGCGTACACTTAGAGGATGCACTGCTAGCAGTTGTGAAGACGAGCGGGGTGATAGTATTTCCACGGTCAACACGAGGCTGAGGACCCATTCCAATTTTATTTTGTTTTGCCCGTACAAGAGGCCCCATTTCATCCGTAAAAATAAATAGATAAATACAGTCAACTTTGCTAATAACGACTGCAGATATAACGACAATTCGCGAATAACGACAGAATGTCCATGCCAGGAGCAAAGTTCCATCCAACTGTAATACGGTACATATAATGAGACTTCGGGTATAACGACACTTCACGAATAAGGACACTTTTTTTGATGCCCCGCCGAATGTCGTTATAAGCGAAGTTGACTGTAAGTACAACAAAATGTTACTCGAGTATCCCCATACCAAGGTGTCCATGCATCCTAGAGATCAACCTGGAAAAGGGAAAACATTACTTCTATAAATTTATTAGTCGACTTCTTTTGTACTTCAGTAAAAAGATTATTAATTTTCCTTGCCAGATTAGTTTGAGTTACCTTTGAAAATTATCATTTTCAACTGTCTTCGTAATCGTCATACTCGTCCAACCGATGTCACCCTCACCCTGCGAATAATCAGCTGATCTCTCCCGTAGCTCCACCTCTCCTTCCATCATGACCGAACATCAACTATACCTCAATTTTTTTTAAAATTATTAGAGTAATATCCAAAGCCTGTACAGTCATGGCTGCTAAAATCCAGAGGACATGACTTCGTAACATCCATAATTACATGTACGCGGAGTTTTGCGGACTACCCGTCACTATCTCGTCCGACCCAGGATACCTGATAAAGGCTGATTCACTCCGGCATCTTCTGGCTGCTACATGAACTGTATCACTGTGAGAAAGAACTTTGAAGAAGACGAGCTCGAGCATGCAATAATGTATCGCCATGATTTCTACCCTGCTTTTCATTGAAAACACAGTCACTATCTGCATGACCTCCAAACTAGGCCCCCGTGTAATAATGCCGGCATTCTTTTGAGCATTTTCGGTACAATCCGTGAACCCAGCACTTTGGGTTCGTGATGCAGCATTTTGGGGGAAACGGAGCACTTGGCCGTTGTGTATCAAAATAATTGAGAGAAGAAAAACTTCCCAAACAAGAACGTCACTTCCGCATTCCGTCGGTTAGCTTCTTGTTGAGTAGATTACAAAAAAGTGAGCATTTTCCGAGTATTTTCGGCAAGGTTTGTTGCGCAAGGAGGGGGCTAATCTTCTCGCAGAAAAGGGGGAAAAGGGGAGAAAAAGGGGGAAAAAGAGGGGGAAAACAAGAGCGGGAAATTGAAAAAGAGGGGGTAAAGAATGGCGGGAAAAGGAAAAAGAGGGGGAAAAGGATGGCGGGAAGCATCCACCGTTTGAATGTGCATACATCTAAAGTGAGGCTATTTCCAGGCTCTGCACAAGTACACGTCCACCACGGCCTCTCGCAGCCTCCTCCTCTTCCTCCCCCCCCCCCATCACACACAATGTGCCGATTATCCTAATGTCAACTATCCAAATGATTAATTATCCAAAATATTTGCTT